GCCGTCCTTCGGATGAGACGTAAAACCGAGGTCCTGACTCTCTGTGGTCATTAAAAATCCCAGGGCGTTTCTCGAAAAGAGTAGGGGTGTAACCCCGGCGTCCTGGAAACAATTCCACCCGGCCTTTACCCATCATGGCCTCCTAATAATCCCCATCCCCAGTTCAGATTTTTACATACATCAGTTGTGGGTTTTTTGTTCTTTTTCAAGTTGTTAATGGAATTGAAGTAACATTGCATTTCCATATTATAAGCGTTCAAGGTGGGAGTGGGCTTAGATTGTTTTGTGAATGTGAAAGCTATCCAGTATTACCGCCAGCTGAATTATATGTAAAACTTAGGTGCCACTTTTATCATTTTTCCGTATTACATCTTGCAAAGCGTGACGTTATATCACACCAAAATCTCACATTCACAGTCAAAATCCTCGCAGAGCTCCCGGCTCCAGAAGGATGACGTCACTCGTGCGCGAAGGGGTCGCGCGCGGTACACAGTCGCCATCCCGCTGGGCTCGTGCGACTAGGGGGGGGGCTATGACGTCACTCACCCCGGCGCCGTCCCCGCCCCGACCAGGTGCGACGCCCCGGTTCTCTATTACCGATCAAACCCCCCGCAGCCTTTCATCAGCGCTGTGACAAACTGCGGGGAGGAAAGCCTGTTTATTTTTCACCCACGCATCAGAAAACAAACAAAGCGCTTTCCTCCACAGAGTCTCAGCTCGCCCGGCCTCCTGCGGCACTGGGCGTGATTTCGCCTCTTGGCGCGGCCGGGCGGGTCACGCGTGTGGCCGGCGTGGGGAGGCTGCGGATACGGTACCTCTGGAAGCGAGGCGTTTCCTCCAGAGGCCGACACTCGCTCCCGGACCGCCGGAACCAGGCGAAACCCGCGAACCGGCCGCCGCCGTCGTGTCGCCAACTGCCAAACACGCACTGCGGACGGTCCCGCCTAAACTCCGAAACCTCTGATCCTCAGAAACCCCCCGCCAGGGCTGCGGGACTCGCGGCGTGTACTCGGGTTTCGGCCTCAAGACACGTCACACGGTCGGAGCACTGCCACGATCGCGCCGCGCCGCTTTGACACGCACGCCATCAGCGCGACCGCGAAACGTCCCATCTTTTCACGCAAACGCGGTAATCCCACAATTTGAACATTTTCCTATAGAAGAGTAAAAGAGCCCGGAGTCTGAACTCGCCCGGTCTCCTAGGGGCGCGACTACCGGACACTCCCTGGACCACAACACAAGAAAACGCCTGCGAGTCCGCCGGGGTTTCGCGGCCGGTGTGGGCGGCCGACGCCGGCGACGCCCGTCCTTACCGTCCCGTCTCCGGCGTCCATCCTCTCCGAGCGGGGTCGCCTCTCCGCGGCGGGAGGACCGGCGGGCGCGTTCACACCTTCGCGAGCGGCGGGTGCGTGGCGCGGGAGCGAGACGGCGAGGGAGCTCTTCCCCGAGGAGCCGCGAGGACCTGATCGCGTGCGCCACCCGCCCTGCCCTGGTGTGCGGCTCGAGGCATCGAGGGACCTGCGGAAAGACGGCACTGGGCTAGACCACACCGGCACGGGGGACGGGGGAAGCAGACTTCTTAAAACACCTCCCATGTACGGCTTCGGCAGCGGCATGATTCTTTATTTGTGTTTATTTGTGTCAGTTACTAACGTTTTAAAATCAGGTGATGCTGACTTATTTTATTGTTTCTTTTTACGTCGTCTTTCTAGGCCCAACTCACACCCACTCCCCCCTTGTACCATCCCCGTGTGATAATCCAGCGGCTGTGTGTGTGGAGGTCGTTGCCTTTGGCGGGAGATTGTAGGTTATTTATTACCGAATCGCAACCGCGCAGGACGTTGTCTCTCTTTGTGCTCACCCACACCCTCCCCAAACACTGCTTTGTGCAGAACAATTAGTGGGTTAAGTTGTTTAAAATGTGAAGTCATAAGGGTATCGACTAAGCGGAGGTGTTCGTACTGGAGGGTCCATTTTCTTTTGATGGGAAATGCGAAGTTTGCTTCAACAGGCCCGCGACCCCAAACATCGCTCGTTTTACTGTTTTGAGGTGGATTAAAGTTCGGGTGTAGATCAGGTTGAACAAATTAAGGTTCAAAGGTGTGAAGCTGTAGTTCGGTGGATATCCTCAGTGGTTGATCTACGAACTACACCCGAAAGGCGTGAAATTGAGTAAAGGAGAATGACATTATCGTCTCCACCCAGCGTATTGTAACAGTTATGCGCGAAACCTGTTTTATTTACAAATCCTGCTATTTATTCTTTGTCCACATTCTACAAAATAAAACGACAGACCGATTAAGAAACCGCACAGACTGAGGTCGAGTTGGGGGAGCCCCCTGTAAACAAGTGGATTCGACAGAGGCGTTAGTGTGGCTCAATACCGACGGGGGAATAAATCGATATGGGCATTTTCTACAAACATGTAATATGTCGATAAAAGCTACAGCTAGTCGACGAAGAAATTAAGACATTGACCGCAGACTGGCGATTTTCACAAGAAACATTAAACCGCCGATCGAAAGTGTGTCTGTAGTTAGTTACCGTGTATTATTTCTGCTTCCACGTTCCCTAGACTCTTATCACTCCAAGTTTGAGACTATAATTATACTAAATCAGCCAGACTGTTGCCGTTCTGTTACGGCCGAAACAGCTTCTCAACGAGCCCGTGAAGCCGTCAGCGCCATGTTCACATCACCTCATCTTTGATATTAAGGGTTTTAACCTTAATCTCTTAGGCTCTTGCCTGTATGCGGTGAAATGTTCCCGTTATTCGTCGTGGTTTTTAGTT